GTGTGTGTGTGTGTGTGTGTGTGTGTGTGTGTGTGTGTGTGTGTGTGTGTGTGTGTCTTCAGCTGGTTGTAATTTGTGTTTTTAGATAAACTGACTTTGGTTTGGAGCTGAAATCTTTTTCAGACCAAGTTTTGATTTAAATCAAAATGCTGCAATTCTTTGGACCCAGACTGGTTCTGGTTCTGAACAGGTCTGATGTTTGTCTTTCAGGACTGGGTGACGGCCACAGACATCAGGGTGACCCTGAACCGGCTCAATACCTTCGGAGACGAGGTCTTCAACGACCCGAAGGTCCTGAAGTCCTACTACTACGCCATCTCAGACTTCGCTGTGGGAGGAAGGTAAAACCCTGGAGCGGCTTCTGGTTCTGGTTCTGGTTCTGGTTCTGAGCGTCCACAGCAGGGTTTCCTCACAGGATGCGTGTGCTCAGTGGGGTTTCTGGGTCCTGGTCCTGCCTCCTGACACCTGAACAGAACCGGAAGGGGTCTGGACCGCCTGCAGTGTTGAACACAGCCTCTGCAGCCTGGAGCAGGTCTCCATTACAGGGCCAGCATTCCTCACATTCCAGGGCCGGATTACAGGGAGACCGGGCTGGGCTGGACCAGGAGACCGGGCTGGGCTGGACCGGTTCCCATGATGGAGGGGGGAGTGGGGGGGTGGAGGTGTAGCTCCGCCCACACTCACCTAAAGCTCGTGCTTCTTTAACAAGTGTAGTCTAATTTACGGTTCAGATTGAATCAAAGCTCAGGTCTGTTCAGAACTCGGACCAGGACTGGATCCAACACGGTGGGCGGGGCTTACAGGTTTTAGTGGATTTAATCCAGAGGTTCTGATCCAGACGGAGGGGTTGAAGGAGACACATCCCACCACAGAGGCAGAACAAAGCAGCAGCAGGAAGCTGTAATCTCTCTGGTTGGACACACCTTTAATAAAGTTTAATTAACTCTGCTCGTTAAGCAGCTCGTTAAGCAGCTCGTTAAGCTTTCAGCAGGTCTGACGTGACTTCAGTCTGCAGCTGAAGACTCGGCCTCAGGGCACACATTTTTCTTCTTCTTGTGTCTGCTGGTGGAACCAGGCCTCAGGTCTGATGACAGATTTGTTCTGGTCTCTAACGAGGATCTGAAGATAAACACCTGTTGTTCTCAGGTTTTACTGCTGCTGGCTCCACCTTCAGCGTGAGCTCAGAACTCATCCAGGTAGGGTTGTTAGTTTTTCCAACAAACACCTGAGACAATAACTGCAGGAGGCTGCTGAGCATGTCTCATCCTGTTCCACCTGTACCACACAATACCTGTCCTCACCTGCAGGGAGAGGGAGGCCTTTCTCCACCTGAGGTTCAACCTTCAGAGTCAGAAACTGTCCCAACATCTCCGTTTACTGAGACACATCAACCCTGAGCTTCTGCTGTGTCCTCAGGTGTAACAGGTGTGTCCTCAGGTGTGTTCTCAGGTATAACAGGTGTGTCCTCAGGTGTAACAGGTGTGTCTTCAGGTGTGTCCTCAGGTGTAACAGGTGTGTCCTCAGGTGTAACAGGTGTGTTTTCAGGTGTAACAGGTGTGACCTCAGGTGTGTCCTCAGGTGTAACAGGTGTGTCCTCAGGTGTAACAGGTGTGACCTCAGGTGTAACAGGTGTGTCCTCAGGTGTCACAGGTGTGTCCTCAGGTGTAACAGTTGTGACCTCAGGTGTGTCCTCAGGTGTAACAGGTGTGTTTTTAGGTGTAACAGGTGTGACCTCAGGTGTGTCCTCAGGTGTAGCAGGTGTGTCCTCAGGTGTAACAGCTGTGTCCTCAGGTGTGTCCTCAGGTGTAACAGGTGTGTCCTTAGGTGTGTTCTCAGGTATAACAGGTGTGTCCTCAGGTATGTTCTCAGGTGTAACAGGTGTGTCCTCAGGTATGTTCTCAGGTGTAACAGGTGTGTCCTCAGGTATAACAGGTGTGTTCTCAAGTATAACAGGTGTGTCCTCAGGTGTAACAGGTGTGTCCTCAGGTGTGTCCTCAGGTGTAACAGGTGTGTCCTCAGGTGTGTTCTTAGGTATAACAGGTGTGTCCTCAGTTGTGTTCTCAGGTGTAACAGGTGTGTCCTCAGGTATAACAGGTGTGTCCTCAGGTGTAACAGGTGTGTCCTCAGGTGTAACAGGTGTGTCCTCAGGTGTGTCCTTAGGTGTGTCTTCAGGTGTAACAGGTGTGTCCACAGGTGTGTCCTCAAGTGTAACAGGTGTGTCCTCAGGTATAACAGGTGTGTCCTTAGGTGTGTCCTCAGGTATAACAGGTGTGTCCTCAGGTGTAACAGGTGTGTCCTCAGGTATAACAGGTGTGTCCTTAGGTGTGTTCTCAGGTATAACAGGTGTGTCCTCAGGTGTAACAGGTGTGTCCTCAGGTGTGTCCTCAGGTGTAACAGGTGTGTCCTCAGGTGTGTCCTTAGGTGTAACAGATGTGTGCTCAGG